AAGTCCTCGATCACCGCCGAGTGATTCGAAGCTCATTTTCTGTGAAACTTGTCTGTTATTATTTTCATATTTTGCCAAATTAATGTAAATGTTTGATGTTAAACTTTGATTCTGAAAATAAATGACCGCATTGATTTGATGGGTCAAAGATAAATAACGTCTCTCGTTACATTTCTGTTAAATTCAAGGCACGACATTACACAGTCAGAAAGATGAGGAACTCGTGAAAAAGTATGCATATATATTTACATATATTGTCATACTACAACTAGTGGCACGTACGCACGTGACTACTACAACTGGATGAGGAACTCGTGAAAAAGTATGCATATATATTTACATATATTGTCATACTACAACTAGTGGCACGTACGCACGTGACTACTACAAATATATGTTACTAAATTCCCGGTCCGGCGGCCTTTCTGGGTGGAGTTTGCATGTTCTCTCTGTGCATGCGTGGGTTTTCTCCATGTACTCCAGTTTTCTTCCACAGACCAAAAACATGCATGTTAGGCTGATTGGTAACTCTAAATTGTCCCTAGGTGTTAGTGAGTGAGTGAATGGTTGTTTGTCTCTATGTGGTCTTGTGATGGACTTGCGACCCGTCCAGGGTGTACCCCGCCCCTCGCACAGTGATTGCTGGACATGGGCACCGGTGACCCCCGTGACCCAAAATGGAAGAAGCGGGTAAATGATAATGGATGGATGGATGTTACTAAATTTTACTTACTAGCTCTGCAGAACAGCAACAGCTCTGGTTCCGGTCCAACTCTGTTCTATTCTGACTTGGTTCGTTTCTGCAGATATATCCTGCAGCAATGAAGCCCACAATCAGTCCTCTAAACTCTTAAACCTACTCATTTAACAACATACAGTACATATATGTACAGGAGCTACAACATGTTACTTACAATGCCTCTGCAGAACAGGAGTGGCTCGGTTCCTGTCCGACTCGATAGATGAAAAAAGTCCTGGTGCAGCATGACTGAAGCCCATCGCTGCTGCTCCAGGAGCAAGGCTGCCCAGGATTTAATCCACCACCTCTGGCCTGGTCCAGACCAGCAGTGCGTGACCAGAACCAAGCTGAAGCCTGCAGCCGTCTGTTCCCTGCAGTTCTCAGGATCTGGGTCACACTGATTCCAGATCAGCTGCAGCTCAGCAGTGAAGATATAACTTGAAGGATGAGTTCAGCTTCAGAACTGTTTGAGACTTTCCTGCCAGTTCTGTGAGATTATTATTGTTACTTCTGACTTTGGTTGCAAAACTTTCCCTCCGTTTGCAGCAAGTAATGGTTGGAAGCAGTGTTGACTTCTGGGAAGTGAACTGATTGCTTCTGGGTAATGTAGTTCTTTAGAATGGCAAACATAGTGAAGGCTTGATGAAAGAAAACTACAAAATGCTGGTATAATTTTTATTTTATTTTTTGGAAAATATTATGTACATGTACTGTACTTAAACAAACTGCGATAGAGTGAGTCCACGAAAATCGAACTGCAATGTAGCAAGGGACTACTGTATATGCAATGAAAAATATTTAGCAAACAAACAAAAAGAAAAAAAACACAATATATAGAGTGAAATCAAAAACTCATGAAAGGACAGAAGTGGCTGTGCTTTTTCACTTTTATTCATACATGTCAGAATGGAAAGTGAGTAGTAAAAAGTCTCTCAGCCTTTGAATAATGTTATAATTTCTGTTTTTATTTTATTTTTTGTTTTATTTCTAGTTGGACAGATTTGATTGTTGGAGCTCCAAACTTTTTTGACCGTAAAGCAGAGATCGGTGGAGCTGTGTACGTCTATCTAAACCCTTTCGGTCACTGGGACGATCAGGCTCGACCGATCCGCCTCAATGGGACGTACGACTCCATGTTTGGGATGACAGTCAGCAACGTTGGAGACCTCGATCAGGATGGATATGGAGGTGTGAACAACACTTTTATTTATTTTCAAAGTTCATGAGCAAATCATAAATCGCAACCACAAAGTTCATAGATTTATAACAAAAACTGTTACTGTGTTATAAAGTGAGAACAACACTGTGGTAAATCAACATGTTTGACAGGTTCTAAACAGTAGAACAACCGAGAACTGTGAGATGTGTAAGTAGGGTTTTGTTTTTTGGCAGATATTGCTGTGGGAGCTCCGTTTGATGAAGATGGAAAAGTTTTCATCTACAGAGGCTCCGATGCTGGAATTGAGACTAAACCTGCTCAGGTAAATTTAGCCAAAAAGATTTTAAATGAAACAAATAAAGGGTGACGTCAAGTAAATGTAATCTTGATCCATTAGGTTCTGGATGGCCATGACTTCGATGTGAGGCGTTTTGGATATTCCATCTCAGGGGGGTTGGATATAGATGAAAACCACTATCCAGATGTAGCAGTCGGTTCTCTTAACGATTCAGTGGTTCTCTTCAGGTGAGAAAATACTTTTAAAAAGTGTGCAGAAGTATTTTAAAAATAAACATGTGACTGAGGGTTTACAAGTCTGATTTTTAGCCATGTAGAAACTTTTACCTTGTCATGCTAAAAAATCTAACCAAGCAATGAGGAAACGCCATTCACTGATCAGACTTTACTTTCCTGATGTGTCTGTCTCGTTTATTTGTCCTTAAGGTCTCGCCCAGTCATCCATGTGATCAGAGACATATCAATTGACCCTCAATACATTGATCTGCAGCATTTAAACTGCAAGGAAAGAGATGGAGTCTGGTGAGAATTGATTATGTGATGATGTTTAGAAAAATGTAAACTAAAGAGAATGTGTTGTAAAGAAGCTTCTATCCATTTTTATTTAGTTTAAACTCTTTCCCATTCTCCTTTTTAGTGTTGAAGTTAAGGCCTGCTTCACCTTCACAGCCTACCCAGAACACTATTCACCACATATGAGTAAGTTCAGCTCAAGTTTTCTAAAGTTGTTTTTAACCTTTTCATCTGTGATGCTGAATCACTCCAGGAAACATCAGAATTTATTTTTATTTGCATAAAAAAACAAGTATGGTGTTACACTATAAGAATAAAATCAACAGTTATAGAATCGTGTATCCCTTCTACGACTGATGGGCTCTTTAAGAGCTCTCCACTTGTGTTCTGACATTTTTTTATTACATCGATGTGTCGTTTCTGTTTGTTCTCCTAAAGCCCTTGTGGTGAACTTTGAAGCCGACACCGAACGCAGGAAGCTGGGCCTCCCGCACCGTGTTAACTTCCTGGGTCGTAGTTCACTGGAGCCTGAGTACACACAGACCGAAGAAGTGGAGCTTCATCGGCAGCGTCACCCTGTGTGCACCACCGCCATCTTCCAGCTGCACGTCAGTAACTGGAACCAACATGTTTAATTGTCTATTTATGAAGGATAAAGAATGCACTTTCCCACTCTTTATTTTAGGACAAATTCTGATGTTTGAAAGGCAAAATGTATAACAAACTGCTTTTGGTTGGAGATGATGTTGAGCGTCTTACTTTCTATCTATTCAGGACAACATTCGTGACAAACTGCGGCCCATATCGTTAGCGATCACCCACACTATCAAACCTGTGCCACCTCGCAGACACTCTGGCAAAAGACCGCAAAGGCTACCTCCTGTACTCAATCTCACCCCATCAAACACCCTGCACTCTGAGGTCTGTAAAGAACAAGAGCTTATCGGTTTCTGTCAACCTTATTCCTAATTCGTTGAGAATCATAAAGTGTAAACAGTTTTGTCAAGCGCAAAACACTGAATCTTCAAGACAGAACTCACATCTGATGTTTACCACTTACTCTGCTCAATGTCTGAAGGTGAACTTCCTGAGAGAAGGATGTGGCAGCGACAAAATCTGTCAGAGCAATCTGAAGCTGAGCTACCAGTTTGGGACACGACCTCTGAACTCTGACCTCTTCATCGCTCTGCCAAGGTTTGTACTGTAGTGTCACATTTATTTTACTTTGTGAACACCTTAAAACACTTCATATAATATAGTAAGCTACATTCAATTCTCCCTCATGAGGCAAAAATCAGTTATGTGAAATGACTTAGTTTTACCTGTATTTATAACAGTTTTAACCATATTTCAGTATGTTTATATACAGTTTGTGTTTTATTTGCTGTATTTTTACCTACCTTTTTTCTTGGGTCTTCACAGAGATGAGGACGGCTTGCAGGTATTTTCCTTGTCGGACCAGAAACTGGTGGTGCTGGAGATCACCGTCACCAACATGCCCTCTGACCCTCTCCAGCCTGAGGAGGACGGTGATGATGCTCATGCTGCTCAGCTGCTCATCAGTCTCCCAAATATGCTGTCATATTCCGGCTCTAGGGTCCCATCACAGGTCTTAAACCAATGATTTAGACGTTGTTTCATGTGTTCTTAAACCATTACATTTCCTTTGATGGTATTTGTTCGATGTCCTGACAATCTGTAGATGAGATGTCAAGCAAACCAGAACGGCTCCCAAGTTGAATGTGATCTGGGAAACCCTGTCAAAAGAAATACAAAGGTAAAAAGATGAGTTTTAATTTATATAACTTGTCACATCAACAGAGTGTAATATAGGATAAGTTTTATTATAAACAAAACACTTTCCACTGGAAGAGACATCCACGTAGATCATATGTGTCAAACTCAAGACCCGGGGGCCAAATGTGGCCCTTGTTGACATATTTTCTGGCCCCCAAGATATTTTTTTTAATGTAAAATATTTTTATCACTTTAATTTTTTTCAGTAATCTTTGATTGTGATGTCAAAAGCAACAAAGAACAGAAAATGAGACCAATCAAACTCTTGTTGAGGAATTTGCAACCAAGAAAAGGTGTTTGATATCTAACTTGAGTTAATGTAGATTCTGAAACCGGCCCTTAGTTTGAAAAAGGTTTTAATTTCGGCTCCCTTTTGTAAGTGAGTTTGACACTCCTGATATAGATTATTTAAAACAAAAAGTGTAGAAGCTGAAGTTAGAGCCAAACTTTGTCCAGTTACATAAAATCAACTTTACAAGAATAACAACCATACATTAAATCCAGTTTTCCCTATTTATAAGTAATGCATTTACACGTTCAGTTAACAAAATCATGTGCATTTGCCTTTCAGCTACAATTCACCATCAACCTGAGCACAGCAAACATTACCACAGAGACGACCGAGTTAACTGCAGATCTGCAGCTCTCCACGTAAGTCCTCCTCACCCCGATCAGGGTTGAACCATTCACAGCTTTATCTTTATTCTCTTTGATTTAATAACTTTGATCTGTTTTTGGCATTTCATCTTCAGTATTAGTGAGCAGCCTGACCTGGACCCCATCACAGCTTTGGCTAAAGTTGTGATAGAGCTCCCTCTGTCTGTCAGTGGGTGAGTAACATCTGCTTGTTCCTTGTTTAGACTTGATTGATATCATTGCTTTCTTGTAGCTTTAATAAAGTTTAAAGCATAACCACATACTGTTCTGCATTTACTCATGCTAGTTTATGTTAAAGTACTTTATGAGTCTTGTGGATCATAACATAGTCCAGCAGAAAAATGGACATCTTGTGGTTTTAGATAACACCCATATAGTCTTAGAAGTTATCAGCACCTTGGTTGAGTGGTGTTGGGATGTGAAGCTGCAGGGGGTGGAGAACATGTATTTAGCCGCTCTGATTATATTTCTTTTAGACTGGCTCGTCCTCACCAGCTGTTCTTCAGCGGGACAGTGAAGGGGGAGAGCGCCATGACCAGTCTGGAGGACATCGGCAGCCCTGTGGAGTTAGAGTTTGTGGTGAGGACTTTGGACATTTACAGTCAGGGCCAAAAGTTTGGAGAATAGCACAAATTTAGGTTTTCCTGTTTTTTTTGTGTGTTTTTTTCCTGAACCTTTTATATATGATTCATCATATATATATATATCCTAGTTACCAGTCAGTAACTCCTACATAGACTTATTACATCAGCTTTTATGACTTTGACTCTTTAAATGACTTTGATCCTGTTAAAAACATCAGCTTCCATCAGCTGTAGTGGTGCCTGATGGTTTTTATTTGAATATTTTATTTTTCATTGTAAATACAGGAGAAAAATTCACTATATGTACTAAACATTTCCTTCATAAAATAAAATAAATAAGAAGATCTGTACTTCAGCTCAGGTTAGCCCGTTCATTACGGTGGCCCACCCATGACCTGATGCATTTCATAGCTGCATCCCCTTTAGGAGATGATCCTGACACTTGCTTGACTTTCTTGGCTGCCATCCATCCATCCATCCATCCATCCATCCATCCATCCATCCATCCATCCATCCATCCATCCATCCATCCATCCGTCCATCCATCCATCCATCCATCCATCCATCCATCCGTCCGTCCGTCCATCCATCCATCCATCCATCCATCCATCCATCCATCCATCCATCCATCCGTCCATCCATCCGTCCATCCATCCATCCGTCCGTCCATCCATCCTTCCGTCCATCCATCCGTCCATCCGTCCATCCGTCCATCCATCCATTCATCCGTCCATCCATTATCTTTACCCATTTTTTTCTTTTTGGGTCACGGGGGTCCCTGGTGCCTATAACTCTGAAGCATTCTTCATTGCAATTGAACAACGCTCCTTGACGTTTTTAACAATTTGAAAAATGGTTGATTGCATACAAGCAGCAATGCCCTTGCAATTCATCTGATCTCTTTTCCCAGTCTTGATCTTCACAGTTTTAGCACAAACCAAAATTTGTGCCATTCTCAAAACTTTTGACCAAGACTGTAGAACGTACATCTAAGAGTAACCGTGGTGATGGCCACCACATGTTTAATTTAAAACACTGACTGAAAAAAGAAATATGTTAATTCATCTTACCTTTGCATCAAAATATTTCCTTTATACCAAAGAGTATTCCATCCATCCATCTTTTACCCGGTTCTTCCATTTTGGGTCATGGGGGTCGCCCTGGACGGGTCACAAGTCCATCACAGGGACACATAGAGACAAACAACCATTCACTCTCTCACTCTCACCTAGGGACAATTTAGAGTTATCAATCAGCCTAACATGCATGTTTTTGGTCTGTGGGAGGAAACCGGAGTACCCGGGGAAACCCACGCATGCACGGAGAGAACATGCAAACTCCACCCAGAAAGGCCCCCGGACCGGGATTTGAACCAGGGACCTGCTCGCTAAGAGGCAGCAGCTCTACCAGTTGCGCCACCGTGCTGCCACCAAAGAGTATTAAAAAAGTTAATTATTCTTTTTCACCATGTATATGCATTTGGTTCTGGCAGGTTTCAAATCCTGGCAAAGCTCTCCAGACGCTTGGCTCTGCCTTCCTCAACATCATGTGGCCCAATGAGCTGGCTAACGGAAAGTGGCTCCTCTATCCTGGAAGCATGAAGTTTGCCGACCACCCAGAGACTCAGTGCACTCCAAAAGAAGCCTTGAATCCTCTGAAGCTAAAGAGCACCTCACATGCAAACAATTCACAAGCTGCTGGTCAGAAGGTAGGAGCAATAACTGATTTATAACCAGACATTAATCATGTTGACAGTAGAGACAGGTTAAGGTGCATCTTCAAGATGGAAATTAAAAAAAAAAAAAAATGTGTTTGCTAATTTTCTTTTTATTGACAGGATGATTAATGATGTAAAATAGTTGAACACACTCTAGTTTCACTGAATAATTTGCTTTTGCTCTTAGCAGTTGGGCAGAAGTCGTCGTTCCTATCCAGAGGAAGAAGATCAGGTGATGACAAAAGGCAGCGCGGGGCGAACCACTCCAGCTGTGGCAGCTTCAGAGAGACGCAAGTCGCTCAAACTGGTAAGAGAGACAACGATGAACATGAAAATAAGATCAGTTTTACAACTTTACTGCCAGTGCACCCGGATAACTGTAAAACACAAATGCATATTTGAAAAGATGTGTTTTTGTTGTTCTTCTGTTCATTTGAGAATTCACCTCAGACAGCTGTTGTTCTGTCCTTCAGGATTGTCTCCTGGGGTCGGCACGCTGCATTCTGTTCCAGTGTCCTCTCCATAGCTTCACTGGTCAGGCTGTCCTCAACATACATGCCAGGCTGTGGAAAAGCAGCTTCATCGAGGTAAAGAACATCCAATGTAATCCCATTAGAATCAATGTTTCTTTGAGCTGCCATCAACTTTCAATCAGACTTTCTTTTGCAAACACCTGCAACTCATCTTTAAGTACAGTGGCGGGTCTAGAAATTATTATAATTTTTTTTCTGAGTGGTAATTTAGGTTCCAGCAAGAAGGAAAAAAATTGTTCAGCTTTTATTTGTTAATGAAATAGATACACTTCATCTGGTTACAATGTGCCACACCAGATGGTAGAGCACCAGAAGCCACGTTGCTGGTTGAGGGTCTTAAAACAGTTTTTGCTGGTGAAATTTACAGGTCCAGTTGGCAGGTTAAACATTTAAAATCGTTAGAAACCGTTCAAATTTAAGAGGATGTAGGCAAATTCCAAATCAGCGAGTTGGGACAAAAATTCAAGTTTTGCGGAGATGTCCTTAACTCAATTTTACAAAATGTAGAAAACTATTTAAACTAGCAAATAGGGTGGCAAAACAATTTATTTTCCACCCGTTAGAACCTCTGCTTTCTATGTACAAAGCGACTGTAAACTGCAGTGAGTGCTCATGAAGGAGGAAAACTTTGATGTTACAGGAAGCAGCAATCTGAGGCACATAAAATAAATTCAATTCAATACAGTTTATTTATATAGCTCCAAGTCATAACAGAAGTCATCTCAGGACACTGTACAGAAACATTCACATGCATTATAAATGCCAGTTAGAAAAGTTTTCAATCTAAGGTAGGAAGGAAACGAGCAGATGGTGAAGAATCCTAATGTCTCTGAGTGCAGATTGTAGAGCAAACATTTATCTGAAAGACAATTTAAACATATAGTGTCACGTTTTACATCATCAGTGTTTAATTATTTTTTTATTGCTCTTTTGTCCTTCAGGATTTCCCAGCAGTCAGTGCTCTGGAGCTGCTGGTCAGAGCCAACATCACTGTCAGGTCCAGCATCAAACACCTGGTCCTCAGGGATGCAATGACACAGGTACTCATTTCCCCTCAGTCACTCAAATGTAAATTACAATAACATGTTTTTTCAGCCTTTTTTAGTGATAAATATCAACTTGTGGTATAACTATTGAAAACAGATTCCAGTGATGATCTACCCAGAGTTGGGTCTTGCTGATCAGTACTGGATCCCCTGGTGGATCATCTTAATAGCCATCTTGGCAGGCATCCTGCTGCTGACTCTCCTTGTATGCATACTGTGGAAGGTAATTTATACTCATCTCATTCAGTCTTAAACATGTGTTTTTTTACATACACCTAAGTCTTCAGATTTTAATGTTTTATGTAAAGTCTTACTTATACAATTCCAAAATGCTGGAAAAAAATGATAAAACATGTAGATAAAATAATGACTATTTTAAAGATAAAAGAAAACTATGTTCACAATATAATGAGCATGTTTAAGTAAGACTTTACATAAAACATTAAAATCTGAAGACTTAGG